GAGCCGAAGTCGGACGCTTAACCGAGCCACCCAGGCGCCCTGACATATTTTCTAATTTAAGCACTAAAACCATAATTTTTCTTCTAGCATTGCTTTAGCTGTATTCCATAAATATTAATGTTACATTTTTAATATGGTTATTTCAAAATATCCCATTTTTACTAATTTATTCTTTAACCCCTGTCTTATTTAGAAATGTGTTAAATTTACATATATTTGGCATGTTTCTAGATGTCTTATTCCTTTTAATTTTGTACAAAGGACATATACTTTAATTGGTCTCAATCATTTTAAATCCATTAAGACTTGTTTTATGTTCTAGAATATGGTCTGTTTTGGTAAAATACTATGTGCAGATATCAGTTGAGTCACGAGGGTTGGGGGTACTATTGTAATAAACTGTCCCCGTTGCATTTCTAGCCATTCTATCAATTTCTGAAAGAATTATTAAAATCTCTTACTGTAATTATGAATTTTATATTTCTCCCTTTTATTGTACCTATTTTTGCTTCATATATTTTGAGGCTCTATTATTAGGAAATATAATTGTTATTTCTTCCTGAAAAATTAACTTTTTAATCATTATGAAATGCTTCTCTTTATTTTTGGTAATATTTTCTCTTCAAGGCTATGTTATCTGATATTAATATATAATTTCAACTTTCTCATTATTTTTAACTCTTCATGGCATATAATAGTGGTGGTATCTTTTCTAATATTTTCCTTTATTTCTCAGTTTAGTCTGCATATACATTCAGGGTTGTGTATAGTCTTTGTACTATTTTTTTTAATTAAAAAATTTTGTTAATGTTTTATTTATTTTTGAGAGATACAGACAGAGAGTGAGCAAGGGAGGGGCAGAGAGAGAGGGAGACACAGAATCTGAAGCAGGCTCCAGGCTCTGAGCTGGACAGAGCCCAATTCGGGCTCAAACACACGAACTGTGAGATCATGACCTGAGCTGAAGTCAGATGCTTAACCGACTGAGCCACCCAGCACCCCCCTTAGTATCTGTACTATTAGTAAGTCTCTTAAGAGTATAATAAATATAGAACAAAATGTTATGTTTTGTCAACTCTTCTACTGTTAAACATTAGATGAAGCCTGAATTATAATTTTTATTTCTCCAAATTATACAGCAAAGGCAACTGAGACATGTATTCAAATTTGTGTTTACAAAGTTTGTGAATATGTTGGTCTTGGTTGTATAAATAATTTGAATTTTCCAGAAGCCAGTCTTGTTAGTGAACCCTCTATTTCACTTACATATTGTGATTTCCATGGTCATCTTGGTACTTTAAGATTTTCTCTTATGTTTTAAGTTCTTGTAAACGCTAGAGGTGTGTCATTTTCAAAACTCATTATTCCTAAATAATCGTTACTTAATTACTGATGCGCTTGCTTTACATGATGAAGCATATCATGCCATTTTCCCACATAATGTGCCGCAGGTGGTGCTGTGGAGGGTTTTACATAATTGATGTTGGCAAATGGCTCAGGTAGTCATGGTCTCGAGCGAACCATGTTGGAGGAATTATCTTAACCCATTAACATTGGCAGCAGATGGACTGGTAAAGAAAAGCAAACAGTTTAGGAGTGGATGAAAAAAAGACATTAAAACTGATAGCTTTAGCTCCAAGCATTTACGTGTTCCAAGAAACTGTAAACTTGAAAGCAACATATTAATTAGAAAAGCACCAAGTTTCATGTTCAGTGATCAAATGAAACAGAAGAGTTATTAATGGATAGGAAAACTTCAATTTTGCCAGATTATTTCGGGGGCAACAAAACACTTACAGTCATTTGATATCACTGAGGGGAAACACAGTCCACTATTTGGAAAAAGTAGAAGTGGAAATGTTTGATATAATATACATATAGTATATATTTTAGTTCTTACGCAGTGTGAAATCAAATTTTAAGTGTCTGAATTTCTTCTGTTTTTAGACCTTCACATTTATATATAGGCCTCTGTAATTTAAGGATTATTAGATTACCTTTTATTTCAGGAAACACAGTTATTTCTTTTTCTTTTTTTTTTTCTGAGATTTTTTTTTAAATTTTTTTTTTACAAATAGTTTATTGTCAAATTAGTTTCCACATAACACTCAGTGCTCATCCCCACAAGTGCCCTCCTCCATGCCCATTCCCCCCTCCCCCCAACATCCATCAGTCCTCAGTTTTTGTCAGCATTCAAGAGTCTCTCATGGTTTGCCTCTCTCCCTTTCCCCCACCATTTCCCCCCTTCTTCTCCCCCTTGTTCCTCCGTCAAGTTCCTCCTAATCCTCCTATACGTGCAAACATATGATATTTGTCCTTCTCTGCCTGACTTATTTCGCTCAGCATAACACCCTCAAGGTCCATCCACGTTGCTACACGTGGCCAGACTTCATTCTTTCTCATTGCCATGTAGTATTCCATGGTATAGATAAACCACACCTTCTTGATCCATTCATCTGTTGATGGACACTTAGGCTCTTTCCATGTTTTAGCTATTGTGGAGAGTGCTGCTATGAACATTGGGGTACATGTGCTCCTATGCCTCAGCATTTCTGTATCCCTTGGGTAAATTCCTAGCAGTGCTATTGCTGGGTCCTAGGGGAGTTCTAGTGTTAGTTTCCTGAGGAACCTCCACACTGTTTTCCAGAGGGGCTGTACCAGTTTACATTCCCACCAACAGTGGAGGAGGGTGCCCGTTTCTCCACATCCTCGCCAGCATCTAGAGTTCTCTGATTTGCTCATTTTAGCCACTCTGACAGGAAACACAGTTATTTCATTCGAGCAATGAATAATGAAAGCCTCCTGAGAAAAATAGGAAGGAGGATTAAAGTTTTGGTGCTTGATACCTGTTATGCTTTAAAATTGTTCCCCAAGTGCCACATCTTGTTAAAATGTCATTCATGAATATATTTAAGAAAAGTGCAGATCATGAAAATAATCTCTGATTTCTATAGATGACTGAATATAACTGAAAAGTATAGTTAAGCAAAGCAATTAATAAGCTTTTAAATATGATTTAGTATTTTATGGCATTCATTTCACATAGTCAAAGAAATAAAAGAGTTGGCAACAATCAAGAAATCTTCTGGCAAACTTAATCACTAATCTTTCAACAGAAAGTGGTAACATGTATATTATTTTTATTTCACTTGTATTTGATGAATACGTTAATCTTTAGCATTAATCTGTATGACTTACAATTTTGTTATGTATTTTCCTTAAAATACCCCACTATCTGAATTTTCTACTCTGCTCCTGGCATGGGGAGTCATTTCTCTAAAATTTTGAGTTTTCAACAGTTTATGTGCATTTTGAAGGAAAGGAAGGGTGGTTGGAGGAAAATAAGCGAAGGGAGGTGACTCCCACATATCTTAAACTGAGCAATGAATCTCTAAAACTTCTTTTTTTAGAAAGCAAGTGGAGACCTTGTTCCTTTTTGTTTTTATGTTTTTGAGAGAGAGAGACAGACAGAGTGGAAGTGGGGGAGAAGCAGAGAGAGAGAGAGAGGGAGAGAGACAGTATCTGAAACAGACTCCAGGCTCTGAGCTGGCACCACTGAGCCTGAGGAGGGGCTCGAACTCATGAACTGCAACATCATGACCTGAGCCAAAAACAGATGCTTAACCGACTGAGCCACCCAGGCGCCCTCTAAAACTTCTATACTTCTCCCATAGAACCCCAAGACTCCATTTTGTAGAGTTCCCTCCATTATTTTGTTCCTGCCTTTGATATTTTTCTCAAAAATTCTCTGAACTTTCTGGTATGCTCTTTGCACCCACTTGTATTTTCCAGCTGATATGAAGTTACTTTTTTTTTTTTTTTAAATATTTTTATTTATTTCTAGGAGAGAGAGAGAGACAGCATGAGCAGGGGAGGGTCAGAGAGGGAGATACAGACTCTGAAATAGGCTCCAGGCTCCGAGCTGGCAGTCAGCACAGAGCCTGATGCAGGGCCCGAACCCACGAACCGCGAGATCATGACCTAAGCGAAAGTCGGACGCTTAACCGACTAAGCCACGCAGGCGCCCCTGATATGAAGTTACTCTTAAATACCTTTCAAAAACCTTTATTGAGATATCCATATCACAAAAAAATTATGTTTAATGTATACAGTTCAGTCCATTTTAATGTTTTCACAAATACACGCACCTGCCATCACAGTTAACTTCTGGAACACTTTCGTCACCTCTAAAAAAATCTCCCTACTCTTTAGTTACCATTTCTCTCATCTTCCTTCCCCCACCCTAAACCACTAATCTACTTAGATACATCGGTCAGGTTCCCCATAGGCTTCAAACTCTCTAGATTTGCTTAGTCTTGACTTTCATGTGAATCGAGTCATAATAACATACAGTCTTTCGTGACTGGCTTCTTTTAGTTACTGTATTTTTAAGGTTCATTCATGGGTAGAATGCATTAATACCTCATAACTTTTTGCTGGCTAAAGAATATTCCATCGTATGGATATTTTTGTTTATCCATTCATCAGGTTGTTTTCACTTCTAGGCAACTGTGAATAGTGCTGCTATAAACAGTCATGTACAAGTTTTGTGTAGACACAGGTTTCCATTTGTCTTGGGAACATATACCTACGAGGGGTGTTGCTGGCTCACCTGGTAAACTTACGCTTCCCCATCTGTGGAGCTATCAGACTATTTTCCAAAGTGACTAGATCATTTTACCTTCCTGCCAGCAGTGTTTGAGAGGTGTGGGTTTCTCCAAATCCTGATTAACATTTGCTATCTGACTTTTCGGTTCTAGTTATGCTACTAGGTATAAAGTAGTATCTCACTGTGGTTTCTGTTGGCATTTCACTGGGGATCGATGAGGTCACTCTCCTTTACATGTTACTTTTTCATTTCAGTGAGATATTTGAAGGAGAGAATGAGGTAAAAAGTATGCCTCCATCCACCATCTTGATTCAGAAAGTCTTTTATTTATATATATATTTAGATATAAAATAAGAAAAATAAGATGCCCCCCTCCCCCACTCTGTTTTAGGCAACACAACAAGCAGTTAATCAGAACTGTCAAGATCTTGGAATCCTGTTAGGGAAAGAAAATGACCTGGCCCTCATCATTGACGGTGAAACACTGAAGTATGCCTTCCATCCTGACATTAAGAGGAACTTCCTCAACTTGGCCCTCTCGTGTAGAGCAGTATTATGTTGTAGGTAAGGATATATTCCCTGTTCTTTTTCCTTCCTGCTATATTTAACATAAATATGTAAAGAAAATGTAGACATAGAAATATGAGCTTTTGCAGAGGCAAAGTTCCTAATTGGTAAAATGTATGCTCAAGTTGAAGGGAGACACCTGAGTCTAATCATCAAGCTTAAGATATACTAGAAAGCAGACTATAATTTTTCAGTGATAAATTGTTTATTGATGCATTGACCAGATGAAAGATGTCTTCAGTAAGAAGATTTTTAAAGTTTATTTTTGAGAGAGAGACAGCATGAGTAGGGGAGGGTCCAAGAGAGAAGGAGACACAGAATCCGAAGCAGGCTTCAGGCTCTGAGCTGTCAGCACAGAGCCCAACGTGGGGCTCCGACTCATGAGCCTTAAGATCATGACCTAAGCCAATGTCGGACTCTTAACCTGTTGAGCCACCCAGGTGCCCCAAAGATCCTCTATTTATAGCGAGGGGCAAATCTGGAAAAAAAAATCCACTGAGGTCTAGAGAAAAATGAAGTTATCAGTATTATTGGAAGTCTAAACATGAATTTAAAAAGGCAAATCATGTACAACAAAGATGGATGAAACTAGGAAAATTAAGTAAAGAATAATTGTTCCTTTTTCCTGAATAAAAGTATTAAATGGACCACTTATAAAGACATTCTGATGCTTGGACTTGTAAGTATTAGTATAGGCTTGCCCCTCAATCAGTCAGGTTCCTATATGCTTCACGCGTCTCCCTCAGGTGCCCTTTGTTCACGTTTGTTCAGCATCTGCTACAAAAATCCAGCAGCTTCTGTTCCTCATTCCTCTCTCACTTGACATGACTGTAGTTTACCCTTCAGGAGTCTTGGCGACGTCGTCTTCCATCAGTTAGAACCGACAGGAATGACAGAAAGCTGAATTCAAATTTGCCTTTGGGCTGAACGAGAATTTATCAGCTCACGTTCCTGAGAATTCTGTAGGTAAAGCTAACTCCAAGGGAAGCAAGCAAATTTGTCAACAGTCAATTCACCAGAATTATTTGTTTCTTTTGGGTATTTAGATTTTATCGATCCATTTTCATTTTGCTTTATAACAGTATTTTAAGGAATGTTCACCGTGTCTCCACCTGAGCTTCCTACTGATGTTGGAGGAAGCAAGGGCCGGACATAGTTGAAGAAGAAGAGTGGAGGGAAACACAAGGCTAAGCTTGCCACAAAGGATGGGCATTCCAGCAGTTGGCTTGCTGTTGGTGGTTTGTCCTAAATCTGCCTTGACTCATGGTTTTTCAGAGGGTTCAAATGGTGTCTCCGTTTTGATTCATCTGGGGCAGGCTTTATCCCCAGGATAGATCCCCTTTTGGCTGCAAGGTTGGGGGGGGGGGCCTGGGAGACCTCGCATCTTCATCTGGCTGCATCCAGAGGACATTTCACATACGCTTTCTCCCAGAAACCGCAGCAAATGGGACACTGTGTTTGGCTCTGAAAGACGCTTGCAGCCAGGAGCCTGGGATGAAACCGGAAGGCCCGTATACATGCTGGTAGCGGTGGAAAAAGCTGTTCTACCCCGAGGTCCAAAGGGATTGGAGGAGGGGAGGAGTCGCTGTGCCTGAAAGGGGAGGGTCCTGGGGGGCGGGCTGCCTCTATAGGAGCAGGGGGCTGGAGCAGACAGTCAGCTCCCCCCCCCCCCCGGGCGGGTCCGGCAGGGAGGAGCAGGGCACTGTCCAGCTTGACCTCACTCTCCTCCCTGCCCAGCTTCTGCAGGGGTCACTCGTCAGCCCACCAAGACCCCAACTCTCCATTTTCCAGGTCTATGCGGTCCACCGTCCGCGTTTCTCCACTTAGTTCCATCATTCCTTTGAGTGTCCCCATCGGGGAAACCGTAAACCTAAGTGAACACAAAACTGAAGTCCGTTGACTGAGGTACATCCTGAACTGAGGAAAACAACTTGGTACGGACCTGGCTGAAACCGCACTTACAGAGGGGGTGCTGGTAGAGAAGGGGGTACAGTCTGTCTCCCACCCTCTTCATGGCTTCAGACTTGTATGACTGGGGTCTTCTGTATACTCTACTAAAATTGCATTAAGAATTTTTGGTCTGTACTCATGAAAGACGTTTGTCTGTGGCTTTATCTCAAGTTTTTGAGTGGCTTTGACATCAGGATAATTCTAACCCGATGAACTGATTTGGGAGGTGTTTCTTTGTCCTCCGTTTTCTGCCTTTTCTGTGGTATTTGGTATTATTTCTTCCTAAAATGTTTGATAGACTTCACTGTTGATGCCACCTGGATCTGGACTTCGTAGGAAGGCTTTAATGAGTAATTCAATTTATTAACCAAATATTTTCTGCTACTTCTTCAGTTTTATGATTTGTGGCTTTCAAGGAATTTGTCCATTTGATCTGGTTGTCAAATTGTTGGCATGAAGTTTTTCACAATATTCACAATATTTATTTCACAACATTTATTTGTTACTTTTGTGTGATATGTGGTGGTGTTCCTTCCCTTCCTCTTACGTATAATTTACTCTTTTTTTCCTTGATCAGTCTAGTTAGGGCTTTACCAATTTTGCTGATATTTTCAAAAAGCCAACTCCATGATCTGTCCAGTGTTTTACTTACATTCTGATATATGTTTATAATGTATATGTAACATTATATATATAACATATAATTATATAATATATGCATATGATCGTAATATACAATGCTATAATATTCTGATATACAATATAATATATACTCATCTGTATTATTTTCTACTTTTTCTTTGGATTGAAATTGCTTTCTTCTCATTCTTTAAGGTAGAAACTTTTACCATTGATGTACATTTTTAAAATTTTCTACTATAAGCATTTCAAGATAAAAATCTTTAAGCATTGATGTAATTTCATTTCACAAATTTTGATATGTTGTGTTTTCATTATCATTCAGTTCAAGGTACAATATTTTCTGTTATTTTTTATTAACTTTTTTATAGTTTATTATCAAGTTGGTGTCCATATAATACCCAGTGCTCATCTCCACAAGTGCCCTCCTCCATGCCCATCACCCCCTTCCTTCCCCCCACCCCCTTCAGTCCTCAGTTTGTTCTCAGTGAAGTACAATATTTTCTAATTTTGCTTGATTTCCTTTTTGACTCATGGGCTATTTAAAAGTCTTGAATTCTCACACATGTGGGTATTCCCTGTTACTGATTTCTAACTTAAAGCTATTATCAAAGAAAATATTTGGCTGATTTTTTTCCTTCGGTACTTTGTCATTCTCTGGTCTTCTGGCTCCCTTGTTTCTGATGAGAAATTCACAGTGTTGTTACCCTATATGTGATGTGTCATTTTCCTCTTCCTACTTTCCAGATTTTCTCTTTGTTACTGGGTTGTTTTGGGACTCTAATCACATGTATGATTGGATGCTTGAGGTTGATTACAGACATGTGGCACTGCCACTGCATTTTTAATTTCACCTCCTTTCTTTTAGGAGTGCGTATTTTCCATTGATGTAACTTCAAATTCACTACTATCTCAGATCTGATTTTAAGTTATGAAGTGTATTTTTCACTTCATCCCTAGAGTTTCTATTTTTTAATAGTTTCCCTTCTTCTGTTGGGATATCCTGCTTGTTGACTCCTCATTATCACCATTTTCTTTCATTCTCTGAACATAGTTTAATTCTGTGAGCATATTTATAACGCTGCTTTGAAGCCTTTGCTAAATCTTACATCAGGTCTATTCTCAGTCAGCTTCTACTGACTGCTTTGTTTACTGTGTACGGAAACAAATACTCTCAAGTTTCTTGGCGCGTCTAGTGATTTTGTTTTATTCAGAGTAAAAGTGGATATGGTAGGAAAATACATTGTGGTATCTCTGGATTCTAATTTATTCTTCTTCTGCATGCTGGTTCGGCATTTTAGTAACTTGCCTGGACTCAGACTGTGAAATCTGTTTCCCTGTTCATTTGCAGTTACTGATATCTTTTTCTCAGCTGGTTTTTTGTTTTTGTTTTTGCTTTTGCTTTTAAGCCCGTCTTTCTAGCAGTTTCTCCTGTGCCTGCGGACTTTAGTCCTCACCCAGTTACTGAGACAGGTCTGTGTCTACACGAGTCATACCCTTGCTGCTAGGGCCCTACGTTGGTTGGAGGAATGCTTTCAGAGGCATAACACGTTGAAAGCCTCTCTGGGCTCTTTGCATATCCTTACTTCAGCGGTCAGTTCAGAATATGTGGAAAGTTTATTACCTCAGCCCTCTCGTGATTCTTCTGTTGCCCAATCCCCCTGTTAAATTTCTAGCTGATTTGCTGCCCCCCCCCCGAACTGAACGAGCCACCCCAACTCGTAAAGATGTGGGTGTTTATTAATCTGCTCCAAACCATGTCCACTGTGTCTTGATAGTAAATCTGCAGAGTTTCCCTCACTCCCAGGTCGGGGAAGAGGAATACCTCCAGGCAACAAGGTCACAGGCTGGCTGCACTTACCTGGTTTTCATGAATAAACATGTGTCAAGTTCTTTTCCACCTTTGGTCATTTTCTGGTGGGCTGAAATGTTTGTTTTTAATCACATTTTCCAGTGTTATACTTGTTTTCTTACTGAAGGAAACTGTCTAATATCCTTATATGCCATTAACAGGTATAGAAAGGCTTCTTACAATTTGGACCAAGAATTTGCTTATTGAATGTCCTTCAGAAATAAAAAAGCTGAGGTACTTGGAGGGTGTCATACAGTATTTGTTATAATTGCTTAATCAGTGGCACTCAGGTAAACATAATTAGAAGAGAGAAATCTAGTGAATCTAGAAAATTCAGTTTATTGGGCACCTGGGGCACTCAGTCAGTTGGGTGTCTAGCTCTTGATTTTGGTTCAGGTTATGATCTCATGGTTCATAAGATCAAGCCCTGCATCAGGCTCCACTGACTCAAAATAAATAAGTAAACTTAAAAAAAACGTTAGTTCTTAATCACCATATGCCATAATTTATGTTTTACTTACTTGGTTTACTGTCTGTCTCCTCTCCACTGGTATGTAAACTTCATGAATGCAGGAATGTTTGTGTATTTTATTCTCTGCTCTATTTTCCGTATCAAAAATGGTGCCTAGTTCATCTGTAGGGGCATAAATATTTGTTGAATAAATTATAATTAATGCATATGAGATTACCTGTAAGTAGCTTACACAGAGAATTCCAAACACAAATATAGTAAGAAAACCTGTTTTTATATATGAGAAAATACCTACGCCATACAATATGTTGAAGCTATTTTACAAATTTATTTACATTTTTTAAAATGTTTTATTTATTTCTGAGAGAGAGACAGACAGCATGAGCAGGGGAGGGTCAGAGAGCAAGGGAGACACAGAATCCGAAGCAGGCTCCAGGCTCTGAGCTGGCTGTCAGCACAGAGCCCAATGCAGGCCTCGAACCCACGAACTGCAAGATCATGACCTGAGCCAAAGTCGGACGCTTAACCGACTGAGCCACCCAGGCGCCCCTGTTTTATAAATTTAGAGTGGAAACCATTATTTTTTATTTCTAGCACTGATTATATTGGTAAGTCAGTAGTGTGTTCCCATGGAAAAACCATGACATTATTCCAGTCTGTTGGTTTATTTATCTTTGTATATTCTTATTCCATGAAAATAGATGATAAAAGTACTACAATTTTTAAATCAAGTCCAATGTGACTAGAGTGTTTGTTTTATAGGTTGGAATCTATGATGTGCTCTTTCTAAATTGTTGTTGAATTTGTTATTTGTTTCCATGTTATAGATTAAAAATCACAATGAGAGTTGACATGTGAAATAATATAGTTTGGAAGGTAAAAATGTCCATTTGGGTGAAAAAAAGAGCTGTTTAATGTCTGTTTTGAATTTCTCAAACTGTGTGTTAGGGGCTGCGTTTTCTTAGTACTTTTGTGCCCGGAAACAGCATATGGACTTCTTCTTTTTTTTTTTTTTTTTAATGGTTTATTTATTCTTGAGATAGAGAGACAGCGTGAGCAGGGAAGGGTCAGAGAGAGAGGGAGACACAGAATCTGAAGCAGGCTCCAGGCTCTGCGCTGGCTGTCAACACAGAGCTCGACACGGGTCTTGAACCCACGAACCTTGAGATCATGACCTGAGCCGAAGTCGGACGCTTAACCGACTGAGCCACCCAGGTGCCCCCATATTGACTTCTTTTCTTACCCTGAGTAGAATTTTGGCCCTTCAGTTTTTGTGACTAGATAGCTATGAGACATCTACGTTTTTTCAGCCAATAAAATGACAAGATAAGCTTTGCCGGACATGAATGTAAAGATCATCAATTGGGTATAACCCTAAACTTTCAAGATTAGGGTAATTTGGCTTACTCGCACATGGAACATGACCTAAAGTGTTTTATTAATTTAAGCTCATTTAACAGATAGGTATTAAAAGACTGCTATTATTTTAGGATTTATTTTCATGTATGGGAGGGAGATCCAAAATCAGAATAGTGATCATCCTCTTTTTTTTTTTTTTTGCAGTTTTTATTTAAATTCTAATTACTTAACATACAGTGCAGTATTGGCTTCGGGAGTAGAATTTAGTGATTAATCATTTACATACACCACCCAGTGCTTGTCACAACCAATACCCCCCTAATACCCATCACCCATTTAGCCCATGTTCCACCCATCTCCCTTCCAGCGACCTTCAGTTTGTTCCTTATAGTTAAGAGTCTCTTACAGTTTGCTTTCCTCAGTTTTTTTCTCCCTTTCCTATGTTCATCTCTTCTGTTTCTTAAATTCTGCGTATGAGTGAAATCATATGGTATTTGTCTTTCTTTGACTTACTTTGCTTAGTGTAATACACTCTGGCTCCATCCACATCATTGCAAATGGCGAGATTTCACTCTTTTTGATGGCTGAGTAATATTAATATTCCATTGCATGCGTATGTGTGTGTGTATATATGTGCATACACACACACACACACACACACACACACACGCATGCCACCTCTATGGACCTTTGGGCTCTTTTCATAATTTGGCTATTGTTGATAATGCATCATGGCGCATGTGCCCCTTCAACTCAGAATTTTTGTATCCTTTCAGTAAATACCTAATAGTGCAATTGCTGGGCTGTAGGGTGGTTCTATTTGTAACTTTCTGAGGGGCCTCCACACTGTTCTCCAGAGGGGCTGCATCAGTTGGCATTCCCACCAACAGTGCACAGGCGTTCCCTTTTCTCTACATCCTTGCCGACAACTGGTCAGAATGGATGTGGAGCTTTGGTGAAAGGCCCAGAACCGCCTCACGGAAGCACAGAGGGATTCAAGGATGTTGAGCAAGGGCAAGAGCAGGCTTCGTGGGGTCCCTGATAGTTGTCTTCTGTATTTGGAGAGCTTCATTGGCCCAAAGGATAGAATTAAGATTTGAAAGTATGAAGAGTCAAATTTGGTATTCATTATGAGGTAGATTTTCTTCCCCCCCCCCCCAAATATCATAGTTTAAATATAAAAGCCCTTGCCAGACAAAGTGGTGAAGTTATTATCATTGTAGTTTTTCCAGTAGAACAATGAGTGGCTCTCGATGGAAACTAAACTTACAAATGGTTTCTGGAACATCCTCTACTTCGGTAACTTTTCATACTATAGCTACAGTGTATCAATGTTAATTCATTGTATTTTCCTCATGATGAAGCCAAAGGTTTCCCATCAGTGCTTCTGTCTTAAAATTTGGAGTGTGTGCTAGTCAAGGAAACTCCTCAGGTTTTAATAATCTCACCTGAAATTTGAAAGGTTTAAATTTAAACTATGTTTATAGGAGCTGTTTTGTGGGAGGGGGGTGATCAATCACTTACTAGAAAATAAAACCTTTGTGTCCCTTAGCATCTTGGGTAGAGGTGTGTATCCCATTTATTTAGTGACTGGATACATAAGGGATAAATAAGAGAGAAAAAATTTGCTGCTTTTTCCCTTGGAATGTCTGTTACGTATTTTGTGTAGGCAGGGTCTGCTAGTCTGAAATATTTCAGGTATGCGAAATTTGCTTTTGTAGCTTGTCTGAGGGGGGAAAAGGGATCAACACTATTGTCATCTGCATTGGACACATTCCACAGGAAAGAATCAACCAACCATGTGTTATTTTCAGTCACTTAGCTTTTGATTGTTATGGTCACCACAGACTCCTGACCGATACCTTCGTGTTTATATATCTCTTTGTTTTCTTTTTTTAAGTTCCCCTGAGGGCAGTTTGATTTTTTTTTAATTTTTTTTAAAATGTTTTATTTATTTCTAGGAGAGAGAGAGAGACAGCATGAGCAGGGGAGGGTCAGAGAGAGAGGGAGTCACAGACTGAAACAGGCTCCAGGCTCTGAGCTGGCAGTCAGCACAGAGCCCGACGCGGGGCTCGAACCCACGAACC